CCCGACGCTTCTAGCGCCCCGGGCGAGCGGCCGGGAGTTGAGGCCGAGCTTGCAGCCCCGTTGATACCTGCTGTTTCCAGGGTGGGCCACGGGTGACAGGGACCGCAATCCGGGATGCACTGCTATCCCCAAACTCACCACTCCCCTCTGCCACCAACCTGGAGGCTCCGGCGCGACCCCCGCCTGCGCGCGCGCTCCCGCCGCCGGTGCGGTCGGAGAGATTCCGTCCCGGGCAGCGGGAAGCTTTCTGCCCTTTGTCTGTGACTCTGACTTGAGGCTTCGCTGTGTCCTACGAACGCTTTGCTCAGCTTTGTATCCCTGTTCAGCGAGCACCGTGTACGCGCTTAGTTCTGGCCTCTCCCCGAGTCCACTCCACTCCGCGTCCCTGGGTCTGTCCCCGCCGAGCGCGCTCAGATCTGCTTTCCTTCCCGCCCCGAAGGCTCGCCTTTAGGAAGGGTCCTCGCCCACTGGCTCCCGGGCGCCTGGCACTCTCCGTGCCGCTTCACCTATGACTAATGCGTTTTCTCCGCGAGAAGGGTGAGCCTGGTACTCTTCTAATGAGACCTGGCTCCGGAGCGCCGGGAGGTTGAATGAAGGGGAGTTTGCCAAGAAACTAAACCAAACCATTAGTGGGATCTCAGCGGCCTCCTCCACCAGCCCGGTCTCCGGGGGCGATCGCCGTTCTCGGGGGCAGAGGTTCCCGGCGAGCCCTGCCGGAGGGAAGGCGCTTGGGTTAGGGAGGGTCGGAGGGGCTCTGGGCAATGAAGATACAGTTTTATAAGCCGTTAGGGCTAATGCTGTGGGCCCTGAACCTGCGCGCACAGAGAGAGAGAGAGGAAACAAGCGAAGCAGCAACAACCCATTGGCAAGAAGCCAAACATATTTTCTTGCAAAGTTTCTAAGCCACCCTTTTCCCGCTTTGGAGTGCCAGTAGGAGATGACCCGTCAGAGTGGCCATTCCCAAGGACCGTGGCGAGTCCCAGGAAGGAAAGGGCTGGAATGCCTGCGGGGAAAGACTGTCCCAGCCAGCAGGGGGTCCCAGTGTTGGCTCCCGGCCCTCTAGAATTACTTCGTCACCACTGGTACAAGGATCTGCAGGTTAGGGCCTTGAAAGGTTCAGCTGTCCAGGCTAAAAACTCTGTAAGAAAAACAACAGGAGTAAGGAGGGTGTGATAAACAGATCAGTGGGAGGACATTCGGAGGCAGAGCAGCAGAAATTAAAGCCAGCTTGACAGTCCATTTTTAACTCAACTCAGGCAGCTGTACTGCCTGAAGGTCAGGCCAGCCGAGGAAGGAGATGCTGATAGGCTGGTCTTTGAAAGCAGCTTTCCACTTCTGTTTCAATAATAGGAAAGTGGAAAATAAACAAGCCCATTTAAGCCGATTAAAAAGCAGTTTTAGTGACTAGTGTGTTGAGGACCAATGGATATGTGCCCCTGGTCAGATTCAGGTGCCAGCTGCCTGGCAGTGGGAAGGGCGGTGGGTGGGTGCAGGCAGGGCTGCCTTTCCTTATTTGGGGGGCAATATTAATGAGTCTGCCTCTTTCTTGCCTCCAAAGAGAGTTACTAGGATTAATAATTGAGGATTAATGAGTAGTCTGAACATGCACAGTGAAATAAAGAAATTGCCCATTTCAATTTCCTTAGGGTATTTAGGCATAACTCATAAATTAAGTACTCCCAAAGGGCCAGAAAGATTATTAGACCTTTAGAATGTAGCAGTTACTCTCAGCTGTCCTAACTGAAATTTTGCAAAGCCTTTGGGATTTTACTGCAAGGAGTAATTTACCTATGTTACAAAAGACTTCAAATAATATCATTCTTTTTGGCTGAATGGGCCTTGCTCCCAGGAATTACAGGGCATAAGAAATGATTGATGTAGAACACATATTTATAATAATTAGTGGAAATTGTCCTTTTTTATCTACTTAAAAGGGTAAAAAATCCATTTTACCACTAGTTTGCATCTTTGCAGTGCTATATAAACAGAGCTGTTTTTTAAAAAGGAAGCATAGAACAGAATTAGGGAAAACTAGGTGCCATACTTGTGTCATGAGATGACACGCTTAACCTGTTAAATTTTTTAGTGATGTGGTACAGTTAATTATTTATACTGAAAGTTCATCACATTGTTGTATTTCAAGTATTTATCGGGTGCAGTGATGAAGTACATTGCATTGCTTTTATTATATCCTTTATGGTTAATACTGAAAAAATAGTTTATGAAGGTGCTTATTGGAAATAATAGTTGTATATAAAGAAAAAATCTAATTGATTAAATAATTTGATTGTCTTACATACACCAATATATTATAGCAAACTACCAAAATCATAAGCATGCTTACTTTTTTCTTACTGTGATTTACTCATCTATCTTCTTACAAAAAAGAAAGAATTAACAGTAACAAATAACCACAGTATGTTCATCTGATGCATATGCAAATATTTAAATTCCAGGACCCCTCATGTATAAATATAGTACAGTACTCATAATATCATTGCTTACATCAAATATAAATTCAGAATACCAGGGATATTTCAAAAAAACAAACAAAAAGTATGGTGCTTTCATGTACTATTATAGAAAATACTGGCGTTTTATGTATTTGTGATTTGGAATGTTGAATATTTATTATGTTTCACCAGCCAGTTTTCTCTCTTTATCCAGTATGAGCCATTGTTCCTGAGGTCTTATTAATACATTTACATTCGGTGCATTTCTTATTTTATTTCATAAACTGTGACACCAAAGGAAAAATGATTTTTTCTTAACCTGTGCAGTGGATTCAGAGAGGGCTACAGGGCATGGAAGTTGATCTGTAAGATATCTAAGGTCCCTTAGCAAGCTCATGGGGTCATTGTGAAGATTAAAATAGATTATAATCAATGCCAAATATTATCTTTTTAAAAAATATATATTTATATTGATTTCAAAGAGAGGAAGGGAGAGGGAGAGAGAGAGAGAAACATCAGTGATAAGAGAGAATCATCAATTGGCTGCCTCCTGCACGCCCCTACTAGGGATCGAGCCCAAAACCTGGGCATGTGCCCTGACTGGAAATCAAACCATGACCTCCTGGTTCATAGGTCGATGCTCAGCCACCAAGCCATGCCAGCTGGGATATATATATATATATTTAAATAAATAAATCTGAGCTCTTTAAATGTACATTGTCTCTGGCTTCCCTTAGTTGTGCTAAATTTGTAAATCTAGTGCCCAAGTGAAGTCTTACAACAGGGCCTGGTACATAGCAAATGTTTAATGAGTGATAGTTATTATTATTGAAATTATTATTGTTCTGAAGTTATAGTTCTCTGGTTTAGTGCAGCAAGCACTAAAGGGGCTAAGTGAGGTTGAGGAAGTATTATTAAAGTAGAACAAACTTTATGGTCTTTCCTGTTTACAGGAAATTTGAAAAATATTTGCCACTGATTGGGAAAGCCTTTTTTGTTACAACACATGCATAACTGTATGGGAGAGCAGGAAGGAGATCTCCCAATGTAAGAAAATAATGTAGTTATTTTGATGCAAAGTACAGAATTATACATATTAACATTCCTTTATTAATCTAGGAAGTGGTTTTTTGGAAAAAATGAAATTTAAAGATATTTGAAATAATTGACTATAGAACCACCTGATTATTTCAAGATATGTATGACCCTCTGTTAACGTGCTGGATGAGACAGATACTTTATCATTATTTTTATCTTTGAGAATGCTCTAACCAATAAAATTTTCATTTAATAGTGAAATATGCAATATGAGCCATTCTATAGAATGACAAAGGATTTTTCATTAAGGTAACAAGTAAACTTATTTAGTATAAAACAAAAAAAGGCCCAATGTAAAATAACATGTAATAGCTGTTGCTAAAAACTGAGAGAATCTTCCAGTAGCAGAAGGCATTGCCTCTCTCAATTTAAGCAGAGAAATGGTTACCATAGTGATTTATCTCTTAAAATAGATTTTTTCTCTTCAAGAACAATGCTATGTATTATCTTCCATAAAGAAAGCTGATGTTTAAATGCACAGTCTCTGTTTTTTCTTGATAATGCAAAGATTTATAATTCAGGTGCCCACATAAGAGAATGCCACCCAGGAACATGGAATAGGTCCTTGATATTTTTCTAGGGATACATGTTAAAATCTTTGCAAGTCCCAAATTTGA